CCCTACCGGCCACCGGCACCCTCATGCAGTGTCCCCAGTCGCACACCCAGCACCCGAAGCCGCGCCGTGCCCACCAGCCCGCCCTCCGCGTGGGCTCCGCAGCCCGGGAGCCGTCCCCGCTCGGAGCGGGAGGCCCGAGCGCTCCCCGCCGCGCTCCTTGGGAGCTGACTCAGTAGAGAAATGTCACCGCTGAGTCACCGACGGGCCGTAGGTGTTCCCGGGCCCCGGCTCTGCTCCATTCCTGCCATCTGGCAGGAGGCAACGCAGAAGGTGATATTCACACCCACACCTCCCAGCGCCGAGGGGGCGGAGGGGTGGAATACGCAGGGGAATAAAGAAATCAGAAGAAAATAGAGAAGGAGCTGCACACAGCGATTTCTGCCCACGCTGCAGCACAGGGAGGCCGTGCGACGGAGGGGCACCGGGCACCTGAGCCACTCCTTCCTCCCAGCCGCGGATCACCTCCTGCTTGCCCATCACGAACTTGAACGGCTTGTTCCTGTCGCGGGAGGAATCGAACTTCTTCCCGTCCTCCAGCATACCTGGGGAGAGAAGAGAAGACGGTGACATGGGGACAGAGCCACGCGCACCGGTGTGAAACAGGCTCTGACCTGGCAGCCCGAGCGGGTCACCGTCACCCCCGGGAGAGCTCACGTGGCCCTGAGTCAAAGCCATTCCTCAGCTCAGCCTCCTTTCGCCTGCGGAAATCCTGACACGGGGCAGCTGCAGGGGGGAAAAACCCCACCAGCACCACCCCCTGAGCACTGTCCAGCCTGGTAGGAGCAGCCCTGAGGCAGGGCAGGATTGATCCCGGCTGCTGGGTCCCGGAGAGAAGCGCTCCTGCGGGCTGGGACCAGGGGCAGACGAGAGGACCCTTCCCCACCTCGCAGCATGGCTGTCAGCCGGACCACCACCAAAAGCACCCCGCCACGGGCACGCTTCCTTCCTCAGCCACCCAAACCACAAAAAACCAGGGTCCCAGCACCCCGTCTCAGCTTCCCCGTGCCCATCCACGTCCCGCTGCCCTTCAGCCAAATCGCTCCCCTACCCAGGAACGACGCCGAGGAGCGGCTGAGCGAGGCCGATATCCCCAGGGCTAAATATAACTCCCCAACACGAGCAGAGGAGGAATTTCCTCCCCTCCCTTGCTCCCTG